TATATATTTATATAACATGATTTATTTTGACTTCTATCAGGTTGTTGCAATGTTGAATGATCTGTACACAGCATTTGATGACATCATTGATCATTATGACGTATACAAGGTTGGAATTAAACCTTTGTTATTTTTTTAGGTTGAAATGTGTCGGTTTAAATGATGCAGAGGTGGCACCAGCTTCCGTCAGGAGGTCCATCATTCCCCAACAGAGAGACCAGAGTCCACACCCGCCTCAGCCACACCGTGTTTCATTTTGCCCGACAGTTTTTATCATAGTTTCCCGACGGCTTGGCCCAGTCGTCCCACCCGCTGTCGCCAACCTTGAAAGTGATATAGGTTTTATGGAATTACTAAAGTTACTCTTTTTAAAAATTATTATTTTTTCTTTAATTTCAATAAAGTTGGCATACTTCCCTGTAATCATACGATTACCAATGAATCTACATTCATTTCTTATAATTTTTTAAAACTTCAAATATCATGAGCTATCTATCGTGTGATTAGTTACGACGATGCAGCGCGTAACATCTAGAAGAAGCACCTTTAATATACGTAAAGCCGGGCGGCACTTACAGCTCCCGACGGTCGTCGGCACGCAGACGCGATTCAATGGAGAACGCAACTCCACGTCGCGCACGCAACAGATCGTTTTTAATGACGATAATCAGCAGACAGCGTCGCGCCGTCTTCCGGCTTAAGCGTACGGTAACTCATGCGCAACACTTCTTGAAGGCGTAGATTATTACTTCCATAGGTTGATTATTACTTCCATAGGTTGAAACAATCGGAGACGCGTACATGGTAGTATCGGGTCTGCCGGAGAGGATAGGCAACCGCCACGCGTCAGAAATCGCTGTCATGTCCCTGGAATTATTGGCTAAAGTGAAGAATTTCAGCATCAGACATAAGCCTGGACATCACATGCAGTTACGCGTTGGAATTCACTCAGGTAAAGCGCCCTCAATAAATAAAGTCCTACGTTCAAAATTATGTAATTTTACAGCACTTTCTTTTGCTTTTTGATTTGCATGATACTTTCGTACTTGTTTCCGGAACACCCCTCTAAAAATATCACATCTTTAATATGGATATGGTGCATATTTTAATGGGTGGCTGGCCCTTCCATGCTCGATCAAGATTTTTTTTGCAATGATTAAGAGTTTTTGAGGAAACAACTGTATCAGGTAAGGTGTTCCAAAGATTAATTCCCTTTCGAGTCTGAACAAATCCATCATCCAATTTGTACGAGAATATAATAAGCGATTTTTTTTTTCTTTTCTTCTCCGATGCAGGTCCAGTTGTAGCTGGGGTCGTTGGATTAAAAATGCCAAGATATTGCTTGTTTGGAGACACAGTGAACACAGCATCTAGGATGGAATCTAGCGGCCTAGGTAGCCTGACAGTGTTTACTATCACTACTACCACCACCATGCACTACTAATACTAGCTGTTACTTCCAAGATTACCACCACTACTACCGCCACCGCTACTACTACGTAACTGCTAATGCTACTATACGTACTACTACTGCTATTACTACCATTATACTATGACACTACTACCATTACTAGTACTACTTCTGTGGCTATTAATTAGCTATTACTTTCTTTATTTACAAAAACCCAT